GGGCGTGTCGGTCGTCCTGCGCGTGGCGGGAGCTCGCGGAGCCGGCCAGTGGGAGCACGGTGAGGCGGGGCGAGCGGCAGCCGAGGGCGGCCCGAGCCGGCGAGCGGGGCACAGTCCCCTCTTCGGCTTCCGCAGGGCCTGGGAGTAAACACCCTGGTTGTTGGATGTTCTATCGGTGTCCTCGGTCGGCGGGACTAATGGACAGAAACTGTCACGGGAGGATTTTCAGGCGTCTGTGGGGAGCAGCTTGAGACAGGTCTCCTGTCCCGAGCTGTCCAGTCTCTTGCCTCCGCAGCCGTCGTTAGAGTCTTGCTTTTCCCGACTCCCTGGGATTTCTCTTTCCCGAGCTGGCCATGGATGCTTCGACTCAGCCTCCTACACCCACTTCTCCGAGTTGCAGCCTAACCTCACGGACAATCCATATCGAGTTCCCTCACCATAGCTCTTCGCTGCTAGAATCCCTGAATCGCCACAGGCTGGAGGGGAAGTTCTGTGATGTGTCCCTCCTGGTTCAGGGCAGGGAAATTAGGGCTCACAAAGCAGTGCTGGCTGCCGCCTCTCCTTACTTCCATGACAAGCTGCTTTTGGGGGACGCGCCCCGACTCACCTTACCCAGTGTCATTGAGGCAGATGCCTTCGAGGGACTGCTTCAGCTCATTTATTCAGGGCGCCTCCGCCTGCCACTGGATGCTCTCCCTGCCCACCTCCTTGTAGCCAGTGGCCTGCAGATGTGGCAAGTCGTGAATCAGTGCTCAGAGATTCTTCGAGAACTGGAAACGTCAGGCGGTGGAAATTCAGGCGGCGGAGGAGCCGCCTGCCACACACTGCTTTCCACAACCCCGTCAGGAGGCTGGTGCATTCGCTCCTCCTCTTTCCAGAACCCAGCGCAGTCCTCCGCTTCCACAGAGAACTCTGCCTTCGCCGAGAGCCTCGTTGGAGGGGAGAAGAGTGAGCTGGAAGAAGTGCTACAGATTCAGGTGAAGGAGGAGGAGGAAGAGCAGGGGTCGGCAGCCCACCTCTTCCAGACTCAACCTCAGAGACTACCCGAAGAGTTTCCCCCAGCTTGTGGATCCCACCCCCTGCCTGTGTCTGCTTTCCCCAGCATGCCTCCAGAGGACCAGAGTTCAACCCTTGAGCTTCCTGCCCCTCCTGTACAGGCTTCCCATGTCATAGAGGTTGATCTGGAACCCCTTATGTCTGTAGAGAAGACATCAGAAAGTAGGACTATGCCTCGAGGAGCGAAGGAGAAGACCAGAGCTCTTTCTGAAGCAGACTCTGAGGGAAAGGGAGAGCTAAGATACTTGCTGTCCTCAGGAGGAGGAGAAACATCGGGGTCAGGAGACCCATCCTGGAAACCAGTGGACCTTCATGGGAATGAAATCATGTCTGGAGGGCCTGGAGGATCGGGACAAGCTGTGCACGGGCCTGTGAAGCTGGGAGGGACGCCGCCAGCAGATGGGAAGTGCTTTGCTTGCTTGTGTGGAAAGCGCTTCGCGGTGAAGCCCAAACGAGACAGGCACATCATGCTGACCTTCAGCCTTCGGCCCTTTGGCTGCGGAGTCTGTAATAAACGCTTCAAGTTGAAGCACCACCTCACAGAGCACATGAGGACCCACGCCAAAGCTCTGGATGCCTGTCCCCACTGCGGCCGCCGCTTTCGTGTCCATGCCTTTTACCTTCGCCACCGGGACTTGTGCAAAGGGCAGGGTTCGGGCACTGCCCACTGGACTTACAAATGACAGCTAGCGCTCTGTACCGACTTCTAGAAGTAGCCGCTGCTGCTGACGGGCTCTCACCCGTCACCACCTCAGTCCTAGATTGGGTAGTCCAGGAGGTTATATAGCTTGTGGACCCCTTGCTCTTGGGATGGGCCTCATCCTGGTGTACTTGGAAGCTCAGGTTTCTCAGTCCAGCTGTTTGTTGAACAGACTGTAGGAAAGTCATAGTTTTGACCACTCACCCTAAAGGGCCCCTCTTGTATTGGTGGCCAGTGAGGAAACCATTGACTTAGGTTGGTGAACGAAGAGTTGGAACAAAATGACCTAGTAACTTTACTTCCTCTTCACCAGGAGGTAAGGGAGCTGGTCTCCGACTAGGAATGTATTTGATTCAGAGCGCAGTAATTGTCAGACTAAGCCCCAAGCATCCCCCTCCACACACACACTGTTGGCAGTGTTCTGTTTCTATACTTCTTCCTGCTGTTTCTTTCTAGAAACTTTCTAGGTTGTACTTTGCTTTCTCACCAGGAGACACCTCCCCAAAAGTCCTTCTAAAAATGTACTTGAACATGCAACAGGTGTGGTTGCGCACACCTTTAATCCCAACACGTGTGAGGCAGGAGCTTCGGATCTCTGTGAGCTCCAGACAAGCCTGGATAACCTAGTTATACAGCATAACAAGTTCCAAGCCAGTCGGGGCTACACAGTGAGCACTTTAACATACTGAGCATCTGTGTGAGTCTACCCCCGCCCCCGCCCCCTGCCCCCTGCCCCGCCAGAGGTTACTCCCTCAACAGCCTTTGCTCTGTCTTCCTTTGACGGACCACTGATGGCTTGCGTGTAACCACAGTGACAGATGTGACCGGTGAACTCAGGAGATGGCAGCTGACATAAATGTTCTCAGGGTAGCCCCATTGCTTGCTGAACAATGGCCCTGTTTTAGAAGGACTCAGGGTTGAGACCACACGTGGTGAATTCTGCAGAATAGCTAGCTGTTCCGAGGACGGTACTGCCTCCTCCCTCCCACCCACATCTGATGGGAAGGGAGGTGAAGGGAGAGTTAAAGTTGCTTAATTTAATTACTTTTTTTTTTTTTTTTTAGACAGGGTTTTGTGTAGCTTTGGAGCCTGTCCTGGAACTTGCTCTGTAGTGCAGGCTGGCCTCGAACTCAGAGAGATCCACCTACCTCTGCCTCAGAGTGCTGGGATTAAAGGCGTGCGCCACCACCGCCTGGCTTAATTTCATTGCTTAATAAACTCTTGCGTGAAATCTAAATTGACAGCAGCCTGGATTGAGTGATTTATGTGGAAGAGGTGTGAGAGCAGAGCTGCAGGAGGTGAGTGAGTACGTTGGTGGAAGAATGGGATGGTTTCCCAATACAGCTGGAGAATGCTGGCTGGACCCAGGCTGCTCCGCTGCTGAGGAACCGCAGGTAAGGCACTTTACCTTTCAGAGGTCTCTGTCATGCTTTGCTTGAGACCTGTCTTACTGTCTGACCCAGCCTGGCCTCAAACTTGATCCTCCTTCCCAACCCCTTGAATACTAGGATTGCAAGTGTATACCACCGTACCTGGCTTATGCCACTTTTTGAAAGGGTTTGGGTTGCGTAATATTAATGTATTTTCTGACATCTTGCATTATGCATAGTGCTGGATGATACTTTGGTTTATTCTACAGGTCTTAGAACAGGGCAGTGTGCTAACCTGATTTCCCTCCCTAGGAAAGGGTCTCAATGGATAAGAGCAGTCACTGCCCAAACCTGGCGACCTGACTTCAGATCCCAGCACCCACAGAACAAAAGCCAGGTATCGGACTGACAGGAGGTATCAGTAGGTGCCTTCTAACAAGCTTGATAACCTGAGTCTGCGGCCCAGAACCCACATGGTGGAAGGAGAGAACTACTGCAAGTCATCCACAGACCTTCACACGCATGCCATAGCACATGCTTGCACACACAAACACACAATTTTAAAAAGATTTTAAAAAATGAGATTTTTGTGGCTAAGCAGGTGAAGTATAGCTTAGAATTTTCAAACTCTCAGATGGACCATGGTCTTATGCACTTGGTGAGGAGTGTATTCCTTGGGAAAGGCAGTAGTGATGTGTCTTGGATCAACCACAGGCCTGCCCACCTGCTTGGCGTGCATTAGATAGGTGGCTGTATTCCTTGCTGTCTTGGTTCCGTGGGTTGCAAGCACAGGAAGTTGGCTCTGAATGGCCTTACTGAGGTGAATTTAGAAGAACAGGAAGGGCAGCACTGAGGCATCTGTGGAAGATCAAGTCCTCTCATGGAGCCCCGTCCCAGGGCGTAGACCTTGCGACCTTGCGGAGACGACTTGTCCTGGGACAGGTGTGGGTTCCCGCGGGCCCATGAAAGAAGGGTCAGCCTCTAGCTGCAGCAGGGCTCAGCCTCTGTGGACTGAGATGCTTTTCCTTACCCACGGCCTTCCTTATTGTTCTCCAGTTGAAGCCTTAGCAAGTTCATTTCCATATCCTCAAAACATCCCAGTTAATCTTCCAAGAGACAATGGCAAATGCGAACTCTCAACAAGGGATACCTTGGTTTTCCTGTGTTTTCCTAACCAAGTTTTGCATAGGCTTTGCATCTTTGGGAACCGCTCACTGTGGTTGGCATAAAGGTGCTGAAGACAAAGGCAGATTAAGACTACCTGTCGCCTTTCAGGAACCAGCTGCAGCTGTGTGGGAGTGTCCCTACAACAACTTGTTACTGGGTGTGGTTCGTCTTGAACTTGCTCTGTCCCAGAGGCCTCCTGTGCTTGGCCCCTTCCCTCTTCTTCGAGTGCTGAGATTGTAGAGCCCACTGCCACAGAAGCTCGTTTTGGTGGTTTTGTTTTTTGTTGTTTGGGGGTTTTGTTTGTTTTTGGTGTTGGGAATCGAATCTAGAAACTCACATTAGGAACTGTGTCCTTCACAACTGAGCTCCAAACCCAGCTGACCCTGGTCCTTGTGGCGTGGGACTGAAAATAAGCTCACGAGAGAATTGAGGGTGTAAATTGGTGGTAGATGCTTGCCTAGCAACTACAAAGGTGGGCTTGACCTGAGGCCCACAAAATCTTAATCAAACTCTCAGGTTCATACCAACACTGTGGCTGGAGCCACCCATCAGTGTGACTGGGATCTTCATCAATGACTTGCTGAGGGAGAAGAGGGAAGGGTGTGTACAGGACAGCCAGTATCAGCCAAGGGTCCACTGAAGACAGTCTCTCCTGTAACCCATCTGGGAAACCTTAAAACCTCAGTGTGCACAGCACTTTCTAGAGTATTTAAGAAATGTTGAGCCTGTCCCATTACCTCCATTCAACCTGTGGAAAAAAATTTTTTCAGACAGAGTTTTTCTGTAGCTTTGGAGCTGTTCTCGAACTCACAGAGATCCACCTGCCTCTGCCTCCTGAGTGCTGCTATCAAAGGTGTGCGCCACCACCATCTGGCCTCAGTTGTCAATTTTAACTCAGGGTCATTTCTTTATTTTGAAGTGGGTTCTCTGGCTGTCCTGGAACTTGGTTTGTAGATCAGCCTGGTTCAGAACCTAAAGAGCTCCTCCTGCCTCTGCCTCCTGAGCACTGGGATTAAAGGTGTGTACCACCATGCCTGGCCTTCTTTCATCTTTGTAATACTCAAGTATCCTAGGAGATTAAAGGTGTATACCGCCACTGCCTGGCTATACTACACATTCTTGGAGCTTTATTATTTGAATCTGATGTGTCTTTTTGTTATAGATACATCTTGTTGAGCCCCACCCAGCAATCTTACCTGGTAGATTTTATATAATAATTAGTTGGGAGGTGGTGGCACACACCTTTAATCTCAGCACTCAGGAAGCAGAGACAGGTGGATCTCTGTAAATTCAAGGCCAGCCTGGTCTACGCAGCGAGTTCCAGGACAGGCTCCAAAACTACACAGAGAAACCCTGTTTCCAAAATAATAATAATAATAATATTTAAACAGGCTGGATAGGTGGCTCAACAGTTAACACTTCCACACTTCCTGTTCTTCCAGAGGACCCAGATTCAATTCCCAGCACCCACACAATGGTTCACAATTGCCTGTAGCTTCAGTCTCAGGGAATACAACTTCCTCTTCTGGCCCGCTAGGGCACCAGGCATGCACATGGTACACAGATACACATGAAGACAAAATACTCATACACATAAAAAATATTTAGAAAACAAAAATATAACTGCAGTCATAGATTGAGGTCATGCTGAGCTGAACGTGGTAGTGCAGGCGGAGCAGGAATTCAAAGTCAGTTTCAGCTACATGGAGCGTTTACATGCAGCCTGGGCAGGATGACACCCTGTGTAAGAAAACTGCTATGTATGCCAGGATCCTTTTTCAAAACATTAGTGCCCTGAGATGTAGTTGTTTCCTGGTTAGTATACTTAATGTCCTGCACACTAAGAAGTGAGAATTCAGGTGACCCTGACCACCTTGACTCCTTAATCATTCTTGATATACAAAGTATATATTTTTAAATTCTGTGTATGTGTGCGTGTGTATGCATGTGCGTGTGTGCACACATGTATGTATGAGTGTGTGCGTGTGTATATGTATGTGCATGTGTGTGTTCATGCATGTGTATGTGTGTATATATATGTGTATGTACATGCATGTGTGTGCCCAAAGAAGACTCTGAATGTTCTTCTCTCTCTCTTAGTCCTCTGAAGCAGACCATACTTTGTTTTCGTGCATGCTTCCCCAGTACTTTATGGCTGTAGTCATGATAGTGGCCTCAAGAACAATGAGTTGTTTTGGTTTTTTTGTTTTTGTTTATTGAGACAGTTTCTCTGTGTAGCTTTCTGTCCTGGAACTCACTCTATAGACCAGGCTGTAGCTGGAAGTGTTCTCCATCCCCCGTGTGTATCCCTGGCTGTCCTGGAACTCACTCTGTAGACCAGGCTGTAGCTATTCTGGAACTCACTCTACAGGCCAGGCTGTAGCTGGAGGTGTTCTCCATCCCTCTGATCCCACCATGCTGGCTTCTCTTCACCCACCAGGTCCCTGCTCACTAGTTCCCGCAGCCACTTATGAAGTAATCACTCTGACTGAGGCTTAGTACCAGTTAAAATTGTCTTAGACTTCTTACTGGCTAGCTCTAACTATTAAATTAACCCATGTTAACTTTAAAATTAAATATAACAAAACAGTTATTGAGCAAGAATTACAGTTATAATATTTAGTCTATTGGTATTAAGCAAAATTAAAATACTCTATCATCTATCTTTGTGAATCTAAAACTTTCTTTGTTATTTATCTTTTATTATAACTAAGGAAAATTACAGCTATCTGTCTTCAACTCCATCAAAGACTCCAGAAGGATATAATATTATCTAAGTAAATAGGAAGTGCATTGTAAGCAACTTCAAAACTGTAGAATTGACAGAGACATCTCACTGTCTAGATAGTCACCCAAAGTTTTCCTATACCATTGGAGCATCCATCTCCAGCCTATAGGCCCACAGTACCTGGCAAACTTTTCAGCAAAGCAGGAAATTTGAAGATCTGTTCTGCCTTGTACTGGTAATGTTCATTAGTTGCTTTCTTCTGTGTCTTGTAGAATGTCTGGCAGTTTCTTCTGTGAAGCAGGAACCCTGAAGGACCATCCCATCATTTGAAAAGTTTAGCATTCACTTTTCTTTTTTCTTTCTTTCTTTCTTTCTTTCTTTCTTTCTTTCTTTCTTTCTTT